CCAGCCCCCTGCCGGGGCGGCACAACGCCCCCCATTCTGCTCGCCTCTGGGTGCTGCCGCCGCCGGGAGCCGGGTAGGGGGTTGCAGAAACTCGCTGAAGGAGCGTGGAGGCGCTGGAGACCCTGGGTCGTCACTCCCCTCTGGGTTCCAACTTTCTTCACGCATCTGTAGTAACAGGCCATCACTACATTCAGAGCCGCCTTCCTCCCCTAGTGACGTCTACACCTGCGGGTGGACTCTATTATTATCACCTCCATTACAGATGAGGAAACTGAGGCATAGTTCATAGCTCTTGAGTGACTTCTTTTAGGTCACCCAGGAGGTGAGAGGTGGGCCTGGGTTTTGAACCAGCTCCATCTGATACCAGAGCCCCCCACCCGCAGGCCACACTGCCTTATCTTCAGAGATATTTGGAGGAGTTAAAAGGCTAAGAAATGAACTGGCCAGGCCCATTGGGTACAGCAGGAACCGGGTAATAAAGGTGGGTGTTGCCACTTTCGGCATGGCTCCTCTGTCCACCCCCACCCTAACCCCACTGAGGAACTCTGTAGGGTCCCTATGCTGCCCCTGTAGCAGCGACAGCTGCTAACCGCTAGGAGACAAGGTACAACTTATTGCCTTTCTTAGGCCCCAGTGGATAGGGGATGGCTGCTGGGAGGCCGGACTGCTGGGAGGTTGCTGGGTGGAGATCCGGCCCAGGTGAACTGGGAGGGGTGCCAGCCCTGACTGGAGCCTCACCACCAGGGACAATATTTGCCAAGGGCCTCAGGGCTAACATGAACAGGGAGATGACGAGGCTGGTGCCAGCTGTCAACTGGAGGCCTTCACGGGGCCTGAGTGTGCATTCTGGGCTGAGCGCTTGGAAGTTGGGTGGCTGGGGGACACCCTGGCCTTCAAGAGGGTTGCCTGGTGAATCTTGTCATGACCATTTTTGTTGTATTGACTTTCGCCAAGTCCTTCATCCTCCCTAGACTTCTAGTCCCTACTTTGGAAAATACAGGGAGGCTGACTGGCTGCTCCTTTCTTGCTCTGGGCTGGTCATTGGAAGTCTAGAGCCCGGTTAAGTCTCTTCTGCCCAGCTTTGATTGAGTGCCACCCCACTGGGCCCAGAAAAGTGGTTTCCAGGTCAAAAGGCAGGTGGAGCAGGGCACCTATCAAAGAATCCTGAACTCCCAGGCCAGAAACCACATTCATCCCTCTTCCTTGCATGCTCAAATCCTAGCCTGAGTCCTCTCAACAACTCCAAATTCCTCTGGCCCCTCAAAGATCTCCAGGGCAGTGAGCTCACTCTTCTGGCACTGGCGGGTCTTCCTCATACCGAACCATACCTGGCCCCCTGCATGCTTTCCAGGTACCACTTTTCTTTGAGGCTACACAGGTCCATCTGCCTCTGCCTCCACCCCTGGTCAGTGCCATCCTGGTGGGGTCTGAGCAGAGCAGGGGCAAAACAGTACCACCTTCACCATGAACACTTATTCAGTTATTCAACAAACACCTCCAAGGCTTGCTTGCTCTGGGCTCGGCTATGTGTATGAAGGTCTGTGGTGAACAAACTGAGCTTTAAATCTGCACTTTAAAAATTATAAAATATTTTAAGCCTTTGGAAAAATATAGCAAATAACAAAATGAACTCCATGTCCTTGCCACCCAGCTTTTTTAGATATTAACATTGTGCCCCATTTATTTCATATTCTTTTAAAGAAATGAACCATGACAGAGACTATTGAATGAAGCTTCTCTGGACCCTCTCCCCCTTTCTCTCTACAGAGATAATCGCCATCCTGAATTTTGGTCGTTTTCCTAACTGTTTTTATTCTTTTGCTGAATACGTGTAAGTCTAAAAAATACGTAGTTTGTTCTTACTTTAAAATTTTTATACCAATGAAGTCACACAGCATTAATCGTTCTCACTCAGTTTCTGAGATTCAGCCTTCCATACACTTGTTGCTGTGGTCCACACTTGCCCTGATGTATGATATACCACCTGATGTAGAAACCACTATTTATTCAGCCTCCTTGATGGACATTGAGGTGGTTCTCAGTGTCTTGCTAGTCAGACAATGGATATTCTCATACAATTGTCCTTTGCACATATGTGAGTGTTGTAGTTTGCCCCATAGAAGTGGATATGTGCACTTAATCTTATAAAGTTAATTATGGTGCACTCAAATTTTTAAAGTTATTTCATTATAAAAAGGGTGCTGCTTGATAAGAGATGATGGAAATACATAATCTTAGAAAGAAAAAGATAACAATTGCTAACATCTCCCAAGTACTTTTTATTGTGCTTACATTGTCTCAGTTGTTCTTCACAGAAGCCCTGGGAGGTAGAGTTATTCATTATCTCCCATTTCTTTGTCAATCCCATTTCATCGATAAGGAAACTAAAGTGCATAGAGGTTAAAAAACCTTCCCAGGTTTCTCCAGCTTGAATTGCTGAGCTGAAGCTTGTGTTCAGGTTGTCTACTTTCAAAACCCTTGAAGGCCATGCTGTCCTAGGCCATGCCACCTCACCCCATGCCACATGACTTTATGTGTGGCTAAGGGGGACTCTTTGGAAGAAGAGTCACAATTATATTTGCAATTTAGACTGGCTACTGTTACTGAAATCAAGGGGTTCATTTTACCTGCACGCATCAAAGCCAAAGGAGACACAGATGGGGATTGTAGTAAAGAAAGTAGAGGTTTATTTAAAGAAATGGCGCCAAGCCTGAAGACGCAGGTGAGCTAGTGCTCAAAGACTCCCCAATTGCATCTAAAGGATAGGTAATATAGGGGAAAACTCATTAGTCATGGTAGCTAAGTGAGTTGGGGTCGTGGGCTCTACTGATTTTGGTAGAGGCTAGGGTAGGAGGCAGTTGATCATTGCATAAGGTCCTGATATCAGTCATGGTTTAGTTCTGTCTAGTTTCAAGGGAATGCCACTGGGATCCTTCTGTGTTCATGGGTGTGGAGCTACAAGATGTTATCTTTAGTTTGACCCAAACTCTGTTTCCGTGGTCAACAGACCTGAGACTTTGTTCATAAGACTGTTCGATGCTGACCTAAGGGCTTCAAGATTAAGGGAGTGGTCGTGCAGGTATGCAGAAGGATGAAAGAAAAGCAAGTGAGTGCAAGCCCAATTTGAATCAAGGAGAAAGAGAAGAGAAAAAGTCATTTTAAAGAAGTGAAGAATTGCATGGTTACATCGTTTTGGAAGCTACAGGTCCCCATAGACACGTTGCCTCATCTGCTGAGTTAAAATTCTCTCCTGAAAATAAGTAAGTAAGTAAATAAATAAAGTTCCCCCTGAATAGTGGAGCAGGGAGTAAAAACAATCTCTGACTCCAGGCTGTTCCCCGAGTGACGTCCTTGCCCCGCCTTCACTGTCTCACCCTGACTGGAGACAGGGCAGGAGGTGGGGGGTTTTCTATCCCTAGTGGGGACTGAGGATCCCCCAGTTCCACCCGGTGCTACCCATTATGCACTAAGGTAGCAGCTTCCAGGCAGATTAAAACAGGGAGGTGGGAGAGAAGGGGAGAATGGGGTGGCTTCAGGCTGCCTGACACTCCCTTTCAGCCTCCAGCTTCCTTCTCACTTCAGCCTCAAGCTCCCCTCCCCAACTATGCCAAAGTTCCCCACATTGGTCACCAGCCCTGCTTCGGGCTCCATCCAGCTTAGCGTCCTCCCAACCCAATTCTGTTTCCCCAAGGCACAGTGGAGAGGCCACCACCACCACTTAGGAGTCAGAAATATGTTGGCCTGGGCCAAGTGAGGTGGCCTGGAACAGAAAGACCTTGAAGACACAGGGACAACCTTTGGAGAAGTGGGGATCTCAGTCACAGCCGGAAGAGGAGAAAGGTTTGGTGAGGTTGCTCTTGCAGAAAGCATTTCTGCCTTCTCCCAGGCTCCTGGGAGGAGCAGACGAGGTTCCTGTCTTCACTTCTTTATCTGTCAAATGCAAATAAGAGTGCCTGCCTCTCAAGTCCAGTGAGAGGACAGAATGAAATAATTAGTCATCATTTTAGATAACCTGAAGTGGTATTTTCTTGGTGGTGATGGGGTGGTTGTTAATGTTGTTATTAAGTCTAATAGGGCCAATGCCTCCAGCCTTCCTGAGCTCCCCAGCCAGCTAGCCCGCCTTCCTTACCCCTCCACTTAGCAGGCCTTCCAGAGCCTCTGTCTTCCTGCCCTACCCTATGGCTTGTGCCTTCTCCTCACTATGGTGCCATGCTTCTAGCCCTTTGCTCATACTCTTTCCTTTTCTCGGGCTTCTTTCTCCATCTTGTGCTCAACTCACTGCCATCTTTTCCAGAAAGCTTCCTTGAATGCCCCACCCTCATTTCTGGGCTTCCTCAGCCTTCAGAGACTCCCACGATCACAGCCTTGAGGGCTCTGGCTGCATCTGTTGCTCCTATAGATGCTGAGCTCCACAAGGGCAGGCCCAGGCCTGTCCGCTCTGTGTCCCTAGGCCTGGCCCAGAGCTGGAGATTGGTGGGTATTTGTGGGAGAAAGAGGGTGGAAAATTAGCCCCAGGGCCTCCCTGAAGCAGCTCCCAGTCTGGAGAGGTCACCTCAGACCTACCTCACTACAGTTAAGCAGAAGAGGTGCTGGAGTTGCCAGAGGAGGGAACATGTGCCTCTGCATGGTCTGTCCATTCATCTGTCCATTTGTCTTTCTCTCCAATTGGTCCAAATAGGCAGAACCTCTTCCTTGGTGGGGGGTGAAGGTGGTGGTGGTTGTGGAGTGTGTGCAGAAACGGGCGGCAGGCTCTTGGCTCTGGAATTATTTAGAAATGGATATAAGCCAGAACAATGGACTTGACCTCTGGGCCTGAGCTGATGGACACTGACTCCTGCAGAAACTTGGGTTAGAATCCATGCTCAGCATGTGACCTTGGCCAAAGTCACCTCTCCTCTGTGCCTTAGTCTCCTCATCTGTGGTAGGGGTAATAGTCCCACTTCACAGGGCTTAGTAAGGGTTCAAGGAGTGAACACCAGTTAAACACCCACAACCATAAGCGCTCACTGCCTCTTTATTGATTCATCCAACTGAGGTAGGTGGACTAAACACCACCTACTAGGCTAAGCTCTGGGCACAAAGGAAGGCACTATCCCTGCCTCATGAAGAGAGAGACAAGTTGCTTCCAGTGGGGCCTTTTTGGCCACTGAAAGGAACCTGGTCTTTGTCCTAAGAATAATGAGAACGCCGTGAAAGGTTTCAAGTCCAAAAGTGTGACACGGTCAGATTTGGGTTTTAAAAAGATAATTTTGGCTATTATGAGAGGGACAGATTAGGAGAAATAATACTTCCACCATTCTCCCTTAAAAAAAACTACCTTGAGGCTGGGTGGGTTGTCTTTTAAAATACATTTCTGAGTTCCTACAGAAGTAACAGAAATCCTCTCAAGCCAAGAATAAAGAGGGAGCTGAAATTGAGCTGGTAAACAAGATGAAGCTACAGCAACCTGGGGCTATTTACAAATTCCAAAAACCCAGAACCTTGAATTTCCACAGCCACTCAAGGGATCGGAAATAAAGTCCTTTGGGCCTACCCAGCCACAGTGCGAAGAGCTGGAGCCTAGTCCCCCACGCCCACCACATCCATCTGGGACCTCCATAGGGTGTCCTCAGCAAATAGAGGCGCTGACCAGAAAAAAAATACCCACACACCTGCAAAGGGAGACAACAGTTCTGGTGGGGACAAAAGGCTCCCTAGAAAGTCAGAAATATTGCCCTCACACAAATTTTGTGTTTGAATACACACTGCCTTTTGTGGTCCTGGAAATACTAAACTTAAAAAGTTACTTAAGTGGACTCAGGGTGGTGGCACCCCATGGAAACTGGCCAAAGTGAGTGAAAATCCTCCCTGGGGGAATGTATCCTCATCCCACAAGGATTGTCAAATAGGAGCTTGTGGTAAAATTACAAAACACGCTAGAAAACAAGTCACTCTGAGTGATAGGCACCAGGAGTAAGAAATAGCAGAATTCGTTTTTCTGAGAGTCTAAGATGCTAGAATTATGATATATAGAATATAAATAATTTTGTTTAAAATGTGTAAAGGAGGGAGGGGAGAGGTAGATGGAGTAAAAGGTCAAATATGCGGTGACATTAAAGAATTAAAAATAAATTAATTAATTTTAAAAAATAATAAATAAAATGTGTAAAGAAATCAAAGGTGGACTTGAAACAATAAGCAGGGAAGAAAATACTGCCCGAATTGGCCAAGCAGATTTGAAAAATGACCAAGTGGAATTTCTGGAGAGAAAAAGTATAATCATTGAAATGAAAAACTCAGTAGACAGGATAAGGAGATCAGACCCACCTAGAAAGAATTAGTGAAATGGAAAAGTCTAAAGAAATTATTCAGACTCTTAACAGAAAGAGTCAAGAGGTGGCAAAGAGACATGAAATATAGAATAAAATGGTCTAACAGAGAGAGAAAGGGCGGGAGAGAGCAGGAGTGGAAGGGGGCGTATTCTGTCAGACCTGGGTAAGGATGATAAAGGCCTACACTGGATGGCCCTGGGCATAGAAGGGTGTTGGTCAAGAGATGTTTGGGAGGTAGAACTGACAGGGCTTAGTGATGGAGTAGATGATGGAGGCCAGGGAGAAAGATGAGTCAAGGATGACTGTCAGATTTCTGGCTTGAGACACTAGGTAAAAGGGTGTCATTTATTAAGGTGGCAAAGACTGGGGAAGAACAGATTTCGGACAATGAACAAGAGTTCAGTTTTGAACTAGACACATTTCATTTTGCTTGGGAAAATATGCTGATACATCATCACAGAGGAGAAAACGTTAGAGCTGGACCTTAAGGTAAATGTAGGAGTTTACCTAGTGAAGAAGGGACTGTCTCTTAACTAACTCTTGAGGAAAAGGATCTCCTTTCAGCGAGATCATCGAGGTCCATTTTGGAACCTACTCTCACTCAAAAGAGATGTCTTGAAAAGAGACATTGTCAAGATCATCAGAAAGGATTTTTGGGATCTCCTCGCTCCATCTCTCACTTTCAGATGGGGAAATTGAATCCAGGAAGGTCAGAGATTTGCAATCCTAGCCTTAGACTCATTCATTACTCATTTAACAGATATTTATCAAAACCTCACTTTGTATCAGATACTAGATGAGGGAGATACAGCAGCGAACACAAAGACTCCCTTCAGGAAGCTTATATTTTAGTGAGAGACAGATAATAGACACAAAAATAAGTAAAAATATATGTCAGGAGGTGATAAGAACTATAGAGAAGTGTAGGGACTGGAATATAGAGGAGATGCCACTGGCAAAGTGACCTTTGAGCATTAGAGGCCCTGGGCAGCTCTTAAAGGTCCACTGCCCACTACAGCCCATTGTGACAGTGACTTGGGTTCTAGAGTGCAGCCCAAGGAGGGCACAGAAAGCCCAGAGAAGGAGGAAGAAGAGGACTGAAGTGGGACTTAGTGGGTGGGCTGTGCCCCCCAGGGGGGGCAGAAAAGCCCAATGGGTCAGAAGGGCCATAAAGACTCCCTTTACCCTTGTGACAGGTAAGGTAAATTTATTCCTGGGGCTTTTTTGGCCCCCTGTCCTTGGCCCCTCTCCACCAGAACTCAGATGATACCCCATTCCACTCTCTTCTCACCTTCGGGAACACTTAAAGGTGGGTCCCAATTGTCCTCGTGTCCTAGTACAGAGTGGGCATCCTGGAGGCGCTTGTGACAGGCACCCAAGTCCCACCAAGGAGGTCGGGTGGGCCCTGCAAGGCTCCGTTTCAGCCAGGAGAGGGGTTGGGGCTCCCGCGTCACACCCCGTATCTCTCTCATCAGGACTTCTGTGGGCAGCCTCCACGAGGCCCTGGACCAGTGCATGACCGCCCTGGACCTCTTCCTCACCAACCAGTTCTCAGAAGCACTCAGCTACCTCAAGCCCAGGTGAGGCTTAGGCCCAGGTTGGGGTTGGTGTGTGCGTGTGTGTTTGTGTTAGCCCGAGTGTGAGTGTAGGGCTGGGGATGTTGGATCATGGAGATTCAGAGGTCTTCTGTGAAAGGATCTCCATGTAACTGAGCTCCTTCAGCGTTCTGGGTCACCGTGACCCCTGAGAGACCCATAATAGACTCTCCATTTCACAACTGAGAGCAGCCAGGCCCTCCTCAAGGTCACTGTGACTTCCTTTCTCTTAGGTTCTTGTCACCTCATCCACTTTGATTTCTTGTTCCCACTGAATCTACGGGGGGTTTCTCCTCCATCAGTTCTAACACAGCTCCTTTTTCTTTATTTTTCCCCAAAGCATTAAAGACTTGAATTACCTTTACTCAAGCCTTTTAGGGTACAAGTGACAGTCATTTAGCCATTTCTTCTAGCGGTTACTGCCTTATTTCTAATTAATATGCTTATAATACTCATTCTTTTCTTTATACCTACAGCATAATACTCTTTCTTTACTTATCACTTTTTTCAGTTTTTCAAAAACTGAAATTAAATTGAGATAAAATTCAAATACCATAAAATTCACTCTATTTTACTTTTTACTTTTAAACGTCATCTGTTGACAGACAAGGATTTAGCTTTCTCGAACCCTTGCCCCCTCTCCTTTACCTCATCCTCCTCTTATCAACATATCACAATATTTGGCCAGATCAATAATCAACGTTTACATTATTATAGCTATATAACTAATGCTCATTGCAGAGACAAGTCATACATCGTAAGATTACATTTCCTTTCTGGAGTTAATAATGGTCTCATTTTTTCATTTGTCTAATTTGCTATACATTTATCCTGAACTCTTTATAACCACTCCATCAGCTCATGCTATGATGAGTTTCCCTAAATGCTCAGACATATCAGGCAAGCACTCAGTTCCTCCTCTTCCTGGAAACCTGTCCCGTGAAGGACAGACATGTCTGCTGGCCACCTCCCAGCTGCTTCTTCCTTTGGCCACCTTCCGTTGCTTCTTTCTTTACTTGATCCCGGCTTTTTCTCTCTTGTACCCTCCCTCATTTTTCTAGAGCATGTCATCTAAAAATGTCCTAAGAAAAAGTTGCATTAATATGATCCCTCGCTTCAGAATTTTGAAGGCATTGTACCCTGTTTTCTAGCATCTACTGTAGCCACGAGAACCCTAATTCTTACTTTGCATGTGATCTTTATTCCCTCTCCAGAAATGTTTAGGATCTTCTCTTTTATTCCTGCAAGTCTGAAATTTCACTATGATGTGCTGGAATGTAGACTGTCTTTTAGTTCTAGGAAATTCTCTCATACAGTAACTCTATGTTCTGTTTCCATTTCCTAAGCTTCTTTAAGTCAGATATTTGACTTCCTGAATCAGTTCTCTTCTAAGCCTCTTACATCCTCCTACCCCCAATTCACAATTCTTTATCTTTTTATTTTCCTCTGACTTTTGGGAGATCAACTCAATCTTCTCATTAAATCCTTCTATTGACTTTTTTTCCCTTGTAATTATATGATTAATTTCCTCCTAGTGCATTGTTCTCCAAATGTTTGTTTTTCCCTAAAACATTTTATTCTTATTCCTATGGGTGCACTCTTTTCTTTCTTTTTTTTCTTTTTCTTTCTTTCTTTTTTTTTTTTCTTCACTCTTTTCTTTATATCTATATTTGAAATATGTGAGTCCGTAAGACAGGGCCTGGTAAGTAGCAGTCACTCTAATAAGTAATTATTGTTGTTGTTATTATCACAGAATATTATCTCTTTTTAAAATGTTTTATTCTTTTCCTGCATAATCTCAGCTTTCTCCAGGTTCCCTATTTCTGTTTAATGAGGAGCATCCTCTTCTCGTGGTGGGGATATGGGGATGCTGGCCCGTGGCTGTCTGTATGGTCATATTCAGGAGCGAGTTCACTCAAAAGGCCAAGTGGAAAGTCTAGGCCAAGGAGCCTTGTAATTGCTGACACTGGCTTTGGGATGACCTGGCTGAGAGCTAGCGCCCCAGATGTCAGCTTCTCCAGAGAAAAATCCTCCATTCCTCAGCCTGGACAGAGACCCCCTGGCTGCCTGTATTCTGAGGGGGCGGGATGAGGGGCCAGGGGTCTAATCATATCTTCTGCCTGCTCACCCTTAATCCCCTCTTTTCAGCTGTAGGTTGTCCTCTGCCACACCTGGTTCCCCCAACTCCCCAGAAGAAGCAAATACTGACTCGGGGTACCTCTTCTCCCAAGTCTGCAAAGCCTGACCTGTTCAATTTTTCTAGACTTGACTTAACCCATTGTTCTCCAGGCTATAGTCAGTGGCCCAGCTTTTGGGGGTGGGGGTTCCAGGGCTTGATGATTACGAATATACGCTTACAATAGTGGCACAGGCAGCAGTCCCCACACCTCATCTCACCCTCTGAGGGGATCTGAGCTTGGGGTGGAACAGAGCCGGGTGAACTGGGATCTGCAGCAGGAGTGCAGCTGCCATCTGAAGCAGGCCAAGCCCCTTCTTGCTCCATCACCAAACATGCCACTTCCCCTTCTAGTACTTTTGGAAGGTTCCATGACTTCACTTCCATCTGGTCATTACCTGTTCCTTACTGGGCCCTGGATCCCAGGACACAACTACCTTCCCTCACTGGCCAGGCTGCTCCAGGCCACAGCTGCTCAGCTTGTCCTTCTCTACCCTGTCTCCTTCATCCCCTGAAGCCCAGCTAAAAACCAGGCCACACCTTTGTCTGACTCTAAACTATCCTGCAGACAGGGGGCCAACAGAAAGGAGCTGGAGAGCAGAAGAAAGTGTTAAAAGCGGATGCCGTGGCTGCACCTAGGCCCTTAAGCTGTACCTAAGTGTACTAGACCAAGACCCGCCCCCCCTGCCTCCAGACCCTCATGAGAGGCTGCCTCACCCTCCCTCATCCAGAGGCCAGTCTTCCCGTGAGGCCATCTTTTACCTCACACGTAAGGCAGTATAGCTTCTCTTTATCTTAACCTCTGCCCCATTCCAGAAAAGGATCTTTCTTATTGAGTTTAAGAGCTTTCCCTCTAAGCAGTAGATGTCAATAGCACACTCCCTGTTCTCCATTGTGACAACCAGAAAATATTCCCAGAAACTGCCAAATGTCTGGGGGCAGGAGGTGTGCATGGGGACGGGGAGAGGTGACGGGGAGGGGGAGGCGAGGGGTAGCAAAAATACCTCTCCACCTCTGTTGAGAAACACATGCCTAGAAAAATAACTCTTGCTCGAGACGGCCATCCCTCCCCAATCATAGCCATTGAAACTTCAAAACATGTTGGGGTCCAGTTTTAGTCATTGTTCCTCATTGTACACACAGTGTCTCATTTAGTTATGCTAATCCTATGCAGTGGGTGAACATTACCCCTATTTTGCCTTCGGAGAGCTCCCACTTCTGCTGCTCCTTCAATTCGTCACTTCAAGTAGTGTTGTCTCCGCTTCTAGTTTATTTCACTTCATGCTGTGTCTGTCCCTGAGCACTGTCTCTGGAACATGGTTGCCACTCCATTCATTTTTCTTGATGAAAAAGTCATTATGATTGATAAGTGGCAGAGCCAGGATTCAAATCCAGGCCTACCTGGCTCCACAACCCACGGCCTCCTGGGCCATCTTGGATCTCGAGCAGGTGGAGGAGTTTACGTTGGGCCTCGTGCCTCGTGCCTCCCTCCTCCACCATGAGGGAATGAAGGAGGTAGAGGGGTGTGTGCGGGGTGCAGGAAGTTCAGGCTGTGTTTGTGCCATGTCCTGGCATTCCTCTGAGGGGTGAGACAGTCCCCTGCCGAGAGTGAGGAGCCAGGCTGGCGTTGCTGGGGCGATGGGGGGAGGTGGGAGAAGTATCTGAGTAGCATGACAGGCCTGGCAGGAGTTGGTGGCCTTTACTCGGTGAGCCTGTCTTTGAGGCTGGAGGCTTCCTCCAGGGTTGGTGGGCAGTTGTGTAGCTCCTGGGTAGGGGTTCCTAACTGGGTGCAGAAGGAGGTTGGAAGGCTCAGCAGTGAGTATCTGGATGAGAGTGGCTGGTATGAAGGAAGCTGGGTCAGGAAGAGAAGACAGGCTGGAAGTGGGGGGATGGGCGGTGAGAGTGGGAAGGTGGGGAGGGTTTGGTCAAGAGGGTGAGTAGCATCATTTAAGACTCCAGAGGCAGAGCTGTTCTGTGGGATGCACTGATGAGGTCAGGCTGTGATCCATGGGATAGGGTGGTTGAACACCTATTGCTGGTTCGTTCATCAAAACTTCATGAAATGCCGTGCCCAGCAGCATGCTAGGTTCTGGGGCTGCAGAACTGAGCAAGGCATGGGCTGTTCTCAGGGTGTGGCAAGAACACACTGAAATAAGCAGTAGGCGGTGCCAGACATTATATAGGGACCACAACTCATGTGGGGAGGGGCTGGTCAGAAAGGCTTTAGGACCGGCCACATAATTTTGGGGCTCATTGCAAAATGAAAATATGGGGTCAAAAATTAAGGATTTCAAGACAGCAATAGCAGAACATTAAACCAAGAACGGAGCCTTTTTGGGCAAGGGGCCCAGTGTAACTGCACAGATCACGTACCATAAAGCCGGCTCTGGATAGCTTCCTGAAGGAAGTGACATTTAAGCTGAGATGGGCTGGGTGAGGCATCAGCCAGATGGAGAGGTCATTTCTAGGCAGAGGGAACAGCCTGTGCAGAGGCCTGGCAGTAATGGGAGTTCTAGTGTATTTGAGGAACAGAGACACTCGGCCTGGCTGGAGGGAGGAGAGCCGAAGCAGATCCCGGAAGGGAGAGGGCAGGGTGATAGAAGGTGGACTGGGGATCTGAGTCTCCTAGAAGGTGCTTGGGCTGGAGAGCAGGGCAGTGAGGTGGGGTCTAAAGGGACAGGAATTGGGGTGAGGAGGGGGGCTTTAGAAGTAAAGAGGCTTGGAGGCAGGGGGACTGCCTCTGCCTTCCAGACTACAGCAGCCTCACCTAGAGAGGTCCTCAGAAGTGGGGCCTTATGCTGGGATGGGGGGATGGGTTCGTGCCCCAAGAAGGATCAGTGGGTGTTGGGTCAGAATCAAGAGGCCCAGATAGTGGAGACAAGGATGGTGGACAAGTAACTGACGAGGGCCTGAGCCTTGACTGCTGGCAGTGTAGGAAAGGGCTGGAGGCCGCTGGGCTTAGCTGACCTTCAGGTGGCCAAGGAGTCCCTTCCCACCACC